CATGAATGTGCACAGACCTGCGCAGAGGCACACGGCCGCACACAATTGTGTGAACCAGACTATGCACATACACAGGTGCAGGCGCCCGCACAGAGCCTAGGCCGCACAGAGTAGTTCTGGCTTCTTGACAACGGGTAAGCTGACAATCAGACAGCACAGGAGGTGCTACATGTCAGCGCCCGTACGCACGCGACAATCAGCGCGTACACGCACAAATGTGCGCATGTCCACACAGAGATGCAGAACCTGGCAAAGCTCTATGAGCAACACTCAGACCGCTGAGCACGAACTCTAGTTCTGGCTTCTTGACAGCAAGGAAGCATGAATGCTAAACCTGCAAAATGCAGTGATTCTGTAATATTAAAAAACAAGGGTGCCTGCAAACACCAGCAGCAGCTTTATTTGCCCGGTTAGAGCTTTGCCAGATCAGAATGGCCTCGTATTTAGGTGTATAGGGAGCAATTTAAGCCGCTGAAAATATATGTAGGCACCTTCACTTGCCTGCACTTTGTAACGCCTTACAGCTTTGTTATTAGAGTCACTTTAATCTTATTGGCTAGGAAACATAGGTGTGTGTATCCCAAAAATAACTAGCCCAAAGTGACAAATGCTTTTACAGTTTATACCATAACATGTATTTATGTCAAACCTTTTTTACCTGTTTGCCTGAGTTTTAGTTTAAATGAATGAGCTAATCAGATGTTGTAGGCAACATTGGTAATATGCTTTCAGAAAATGTTTGCATTTGAGGCTCATTCACATTAGCCTAATGAAAGGAGACAGTTTGATTAGTGTTCTTTAATAAGATTTTCCAGAGAGTAATTCTGCATGTGTCTGCGACCATTGCTATATACTTAATAAAAACATCCTGGGTACATTGATGACGTGGATGCATTTAGAAAGGATTATCATGTCATTTCTTTTTTTCCATTACACCATGCCATGCTTGTTCAGCCCTTGTTACAAGATAGAAATATACATACGTAGTAGGTGGAATTAAGCAAACGAAAAGAAGGTTGGAAGTATAAGATGGCGCCTTTCTCAAGACATTAAAATAAACAGAAATGCAGAAAATATGTAATGTGCATACTACACAGTGGGAATGGTAAAGACTTTTATTTATGTCTAAATGTATAACATTTCCAACTTCTTCAGAATAAAAAAAAAACCCTTGATGTACTTGAATGTGAAACATCTTAAGCCCACGCACCCTTGATAAATTTCATTCAAAAACATAAAACAAGAAGTTATAAAACTCAGTCTAGCTGGAGAAATAAATCTCAGGCTTCCATATAGCATGACATTCCTCTATACATGGTTCTTCCAGATTATGTAATTTTCCATACTTAGTTCTAAATGTACCTAAATAAATAATGGTCATAAAACATAAAAATAACTGAGCATATAGAATGTCATTTTTCGACTGCAAGGTTATTCTGGAGTCAATGATGTTATAAACATAAGTAAAACAAGGCGGCCGCACAGTTAGAAAATCCAGTGTGATATAAAACTTTAGTGTTCCAGAAAAAAGCACAAGGTTCCCCCATTTGGGACCTACCTCCTTCTTTTTCCTGTGGTCCTGCTGGGGAGCCTGAATGAGCTTCAGTCCAGCATTTCCACGCAAGGTTTCAGACGTACCGGCCAGCACAGGACTTGGGAGAGGCATTTTCTTTTGTACTTTGAATTATGTTGTAATTAGGTTGGCAAACCTTTATTTTGAATAGTTTTATCTTTTAGTAATTTATGACCTGACAAATAAGGTTTTGGATGCTAACCTAAAGGAAATGTGTACTGGAAAAATGTGTCATTGCTAGAAGTGTTCTGGCAAAAAAATTGTTTAGTTTCGTTTTCATTCTGATTTTTCATTATTTAGTTTTTCGGGATTCGGGTCCGAAAGTCAATTTGTTTTGGTATTCAGATGAAATATGAATTTTCATTATTTTCGATAGAAGTAGTATGTACGAATTTTTGTTATGAACAAATTTCCGTTGCAGCTAAGTGACATTAGACAAAAGAAAAAAATTACTTTTCTTTTTACAGTCCACAGTAGAAAAAAACCCCCAAAAAAGTGAGGTTCCCCCAATTGATACCAGACCCTTTAGGTCTGGTAGGAATGTTAGGAGGGACCCCCCAAGTTAAACATTTTAAAAAGTGCATGGGGTTCCCACCAAAAGTCATACCAGACCCTTTAGGTCTGGTAGGAATTTTAAGGGGAACCCCACCCCCAAAAAGGGTGGGGAAACATGGGGTCCCCCTTAAATTCCTACCAGACTCTTGATCTGAGCACAGCCTGGCAGAGCTTGAATGGGGGGGTGATCAAGTGCCCCCTCCCTGCGCAATACCAGGCCACGTGCGCTTGGCATAGGGAGGGTGTCCCCATGCCAATAGGGACAAGGGCCTCTTCCCCAAAACCTTGACCTGGTGGTTTGTTGGGGTCTTCGGGCAGGGGGGCTTATTGGCATTTGGGCACCCCTTTAATTAAGGGGGCACCCAGACACCGCCTTCCCCTTTCGAATGACTAAGGGCTACTTGCACCCATACTCATTCACTAAAGGGTTAAAAGTCAATGTAAATAAAGAAACCACATGTTTTGAAAAATTCCTTTATTTAAATCCATCAATGTAATCCAGCCTCAATCACGATGAACAACGCCCACCCAAAAAAATCCTACTGCACACACCAACCCATCCGTATCCAACGAAGACTCATCACAAAATTACAGATTTGTCCAGAATGTAAACAAATGGGCGGAGTGAGCCGTGACGTCACAGGGCTCGTTTCACCCATTTGAAATTCTTAGCTGTCATATAACACAATAGCATTCGGGAGCTCACGAATGCTATTTGTGAGCTCTTGAATGCCATTCAGGTCTGGGAGCAGAGGTGTCATAATACTATTCATACGACACCTCGGCTCACAGGTCCGAATGGCATTCGGGAGCTTACGAATGGCATTCAAGACCTTACAAATAGCATTCGGGAGCTCCCGAATGCTATTGAGTTATATGACAGCGGCTCGCTACTCCCATTTGTTTACATTCGGGCCAGAGCCGTCATTTTGTGGTGAGTATTTGTGTTCGGACAAGTCGGCGTGCTGCGGGACTTTTTTTTATTTCTGTGAGTTGGTGAGCGTCATTCATCGTAATTGATGCTGAATTACAAAGATGGATCCATTTTTTTCTTTTTAAATAAAGAAATTGTCAAAAACTGACTTTTCAAAATGTGTGGTACCCCTTACTCATTCAAAAGGGGGGGTGGCATCTGGGTGCCCCCATAATTCAAAGGGTACCATGATGCAAATAAGCCCCCTGCCTGCAGACCCCCACAACCACTGAGTCAGGGTTGTGGAGAAGAGGCCCTTGTCCCCAACAGCATAGGAACACCCTCCCAATGCTGAGGGCACATGGCCTGGTATGCGCAGGGAGGGGGGTGCTCGATCATCTACCCCTTTCTTGCCCGGCATGTGCTCAGATTAAGGGTCTGGTAGGAATTTTAAGGGGGCCCCATGTTTTTCCCCCTGTTTTTTGGGGTGGGGTTCCCCCTTAAAATTCCTACCAGACACTTAGGGTCTGGTGTGACTTTTGGGGGTGACCCCACGCATCTTTTAACTTGGGGGATTCCTACCAAACCTAAAGGGTCTGGTATCAATTATGGGGAAACCTCACGCTTTTTTTTTTTTCCTTCTGCGGACTGTAAAAAGAAAAAAAGTCATTTTTTTTTCTTTTGTCTAATGTCACTGTGCTGCAACAAAAATGTATGAATTTCCAAAAATTAGTGCGCATAATGAATCTTTACGAAACAAGTCGCACATGTCTAGTCATTGTTGAATTCTCCCTTTGAAAAATGCAAGTTGCTTGGTTGCTATGTAGATCCAATAGCTTCAAATGAATTGATCCAATGGAGTCAATGACCTGGATCAAGTATGTAGATCAGCAGTGTTGAACTTCCTTTGGCTTCACTGGCTGCATGCCTGTTCTCTATTAATCACTCAGAAAGTACTAAGACCAGAGACAGCAAGGCAACTGGCATTTTCAGAAGGAAGTAGTATGCCTTTTTTTTCCTTTGTTATTTGCATGTTTCTATGTTCTTTATACAATGGATTTTCAGCAAATTTAGCTAAGAAAAATTGATCAATGCTACTCAAAAGCCAATTGCTTCCCATTTAATCGACTTTAGATACAATTTGGAAGTAATGAATGAACGGATTAAACCTGAAGATTAAAATGAAAGCTCCATTAGAAATGACTAACAGGGTTATTCACAAAAGGGTGAAGAGATTGGAGAAGGCAGGAGAAGTGAACAATCTAGGACAACATAGCTGGACTGAAAAGTGAGCTGAATTGGAGATTTTTTTCAAATCATCTATTAAGATCTAAAAATCATTAAAAAATATCAAAAGGAACTCCAACCATAGATCAGTTTTCCACAGAATTTAAGATTATA